TCCTCAGGTAGGCAATCACATCTCAAAACGTAATCCTCTTGTGTGGCAGCGTGCAAGGGGGCTGTGCTTTCTACACGGTCCTAGCAGCCTGCAAGAGCATTCATTGGCAGGTCTCTGATAATGGTTGAGTAACTTGAAATATTTGGATTCCTGATTACCTTGGCTGCTGTATGACTCATTAAAAGAAAAAAAAAATGAGACCTGCTTCCATAAGATACAACATGTCACCAAATGATAGAAAATTTTCACCAACATCCCCACAGTCTATGATGCATAATATTCATGCTGTCGTTTACTTCAACTTACCCTGAGCAGAGAAAAGCCTTAGTGTATTAATAAAAATAGTAGACAGTGAGCAGTGTCATTGGTCACTTGCCCTGGAGAACAGACCCTGAGTTGCGGATTTTGCTAGCATGAAGTTTATTTGGGAGTGTACCTGGGGACACCTGTGAGGGACTGAGAGAAACAAGAGTGGGAAGAGGGAGGGTTAAACTGTGACACAGTCACGACAGAGGCCTCAGCTGATCCCACAGGAAACTCTGGAACTGAGGTGGTCTTTCAGAAATGTTCCAACTTTCGGCAAGGGAGCTGGGACTTTATATGCATCATTAGTCAGTCCTTGGATGCAAGCTCCCTCTGGCATGACCTGGGGAGACGCAGCTTCCTTCAGTCCTTGGAGAGCAATTCTTGGAAATGTACGTGACTATGAGCTATCAGCCAGCAACACTCTTGGCAGCTGGGGGAGTGAGTGTCTCAGTCCTGAAGGGAGAATCTCAGCAGTGTATCACAGCATCCACTACAAATGGCTTCTTCAAGATAGCTGCCTTCAGAATGTAAATGTGTGACTCATTTCCACAGCAAACTCTTTGCAGTATGGCATAGCATGTTACTTGTCTATTTCTCTGCTACAGCTATCCCGATGCTCTTTGCAAAGAGTCGGCTTCAATAAATATTTGGATTAGATTTGATTAAATTAAATCTGCCCTTTATTTAGAATATTATATTATTAGTCCATCCTCTATATGACACTATAATGATGATACGTGTCATTGTAGATTTGTCAAAACACATAGAACATACAACACCAAAAGTGAACCTTAATGTAAACTATACTCTTTGGATGATAATGATATGTCAATGTAGGTTCATTAGTTGTAACAAATGTCCCACTCTTGTAGGGATGTTGATAATATGGGAGGCTGTGCGGGAGGGTGGGAGTGGCAGAGGGGGACAGGGTATATATGAGAAATCTCTGTACCTTCCTCTCAATTTTGCTGTGAATTTAAAACTGCTCTCAAAAAAGTAAGTCTTATTTTTTTCTTTTTTAAATCTCTGGGCATGTGTATTAGTTTGTGATGGTTGCCATAACAAAATATCCCAGATTTGGTGGCTTAAACAACACAAATTTATTATCTCACTACTTCGAAGGCTGGAAGTCCGAGATCAAGGTGTTGCAGGGTTGGTTCCTTCTGAGGCCTCTCTCCTTGGCTTAGAGATGGCCATCTTTTCCCGGTGTCTTCACATGATCTTTCCTCTATACTTGTCTGTGCCCTAACGTCCTCTTCTTATGAAGACAGCAGTCATATTGAGTTAGAGCCAACTCTTATGACCTCATTTTAACTTAATTATCTCTAAAAAGGCCCTATTTCCAATTATGTCACATGCTGAGGTACTGGGGGTTAGGACTTTAACATATTTATTTTCAGAGGGCACAACTCAGCCCATAACAGCATGCGAAAAGGGCTCATGCTCTTAATTACCATTTTACAGATAAACTGAGATAAAGATGTTGAATGACTCAATGTACAGCTCATGTTACCTATCTTAATGTATCTTCTTACCTGTAACGGGAGTGTGAGGGCATCTCTCCCCATAGAAACTTTTGGACACTCTTACTCATTTTAGCATACAGATGGCCCTTATCACTGACTCTCCACAAAGCTTGCTTTGGGTTATAAAATTAAGTAGCTGAAGTCATTCAAGAATACAATTTACTTTCTCCACAATTTGTTACTCTGAAAATTATTATCCCATATAGAGTTCTTTGTTCTCTGGCACCAAATTCCAGACCCACTTTTGATTTTTATTCCTGAAGCAGGTGCATTGCTCTGAAACCCTGTCCCCTGTCCCATCCTATGACCAGGCTAACCCACTAGAAGGACATTTGAAGACCTCCTCTGTCTCTCGCTCTTGAGCCTAATGAAAGTCCTAATATGTAAGACCTTGACTCCAGTTCTCTAGTCCACACAACCACCCCACTTGTTGCACAGAGCCAAAAGCACCTTTAAAGAAAAAGCAATGTACTCACACCCCCCTCCCCAGACACATAGAGGGATGGGGAAAGGGAACTAACATTTCTCAATCATCTCCCATGTGTTAGACACTGGGGCAGGTGCTTTCACAGGCACCACCTTCTTTACTCTGCTCAATACCATAGGTGTGGTTTATATTACCATTTTATGAATGAGCAAAGTAGGAGACCCCTAGAGACTAAATAACTCTCCCAAGTCACCCATTAGAATGTCGGAAGGACAGAATTGAAACACACACCTGGCTGTCTCCAAAACCTATCTTTTTTCCACAGGCCCGCACTGCTTGTGTTTGAAGCGCAGCACGGGGCCAAGCCTCAATCCACACCTATCCTGTCCAAAACTGCCCAGACCCAGAGGCTGAGATGTTCAGGCTCTTCGCTCCCTGACTTTCATAACACATTTGTGTGTCTGAACAAAGCCTCTATCCACTTTCTTAAAATGTCTTCTGTAACTTGATCGTTTCCTGTTTAATAAGTTTCCACAGTCTTTGTTTTACCAGCTACAGTCTTTCCTTTGTTAGCTTATCATCATACTCTGCACTGAAGCCTCATCAATCTTAGCAGGGCCCCCTCCCAGAGGAAGTTGTGGGAAAGGGTCAGGATTTGAGTTCCATTTTCTGGTTGCCTCTTTTTTTTTTTTTCATGCGGGAGTCGAACCGGCAGTCTTGCTGTTAAGAGCACATGCTCTATCCACTGAGCCATCTGGGTGGCAGTTCAGCTCAAGGACGAATTCAGTCCTAGCCGTGGATGGGAGTAGCCCACCATCAAACAGGCAATCTTGTCATTAGGAGCACGTGCTCTCACCAGCTGAGCTATCCTGCCACCTGTTGGCAGATCAGTGGCAGCTCAGCTCAGCCGAAGCTCACTGGTCCATGTAGGAATCGAACCAGCAACACTGTTGCTCAGAGCTCGTGCTCTTAAGCAAATTCGTAACCAACTGAGCCACTCGCCCAGCCCCGCTGGTTGCCTCTTGTGCCACTCCCTGACTGTTTCCCAAAAATCCTGTATCTTTTGGAAACCAATTCTTCACTCCCTGAACAGATTGCTACCTCTTGAAGTGCAGGGCTGGGAAACCAAACACCAAGTAAAAGCCACTCCCTTCTGTTAGTGATGCAAACTTTCAGCCACACTTCTTAATGGAATGAATGTGATGTGGGAGGATGGGAAGAGATGATAAAATATCACCTGGCCACATAAAGCAGGGGAAAAATTGATTTCTCAGTGTGGGTACAACCATTGAGTCACTAACTTGTGTCCAAGATGAAAATTACCAGGAGGAAAAAAATTCCTAGGAGAAAATTTATTTTCAAGCTGTGTTGCTTGGGGCTAAGATATTGCTCCCTAAGGTTCATACCTAGGTGTTGGCATATTATATCAGTAGTCCCATTCATTCCACAAATTTTGTGGCTTTTATTGCCAATTTTGCCTCCCATGGTGATTTTTAGAAATGCATATGTCTTTTTATTGCAGAACTGACTAAACTCAGCACCATATTCCTCTTAATATGCACTAAAACTATGGAGAGCTTAGGGAAATCTGGAAAAAATAAAAAGGAGACTAAATGCTATTAACATAAGGAAATTATTAATTTCACCTTGTTACAGTCCCAAATAAATCTACCGAACTAAAGGCAATGATTTGGCTTGGTATTACATGATGCTGTGGAATTTCTAGATCTTTGCTTGAGAGAAATAAAAGTCGTTTTTACAGTAGCAAGAGTCGGGAAGGAAATGTGGGTCAATAAACTAATGCTCAGGCAATTTTATAAATCTTGAAGTCATATTCATGTCTCTCACAATGAACAATTTATTTCAATTTTATGAGAGGAGCATAATTTCCAATTGACTGGAAAATTTTTATCGCTTGAATAATTACTCTTTGGTTTGAAATGAATCCTTGTCTAGCTTCTAAACTACCAGCATGAAAGGTTGTGGAAGCAGCCCTGCAAAGAGGTACACACTTGTTTGTGTGTTTTGTGAAAAGGATGACTAAATGGCTTTTTGTGACTTCTGGTTTGATCCGGTTGCTCTACCCACACCCACATGGCCATCATCAGCCCTACTGATTGGCTTGCTGTTTAAAACCAAACTGGCGATAGAAATTTCACTAAGCATCTCTGAAAGACAGCAGTGCTGTTTGCCGAGAATTTCCAGGTTCTGACCTTGGAACTCTATGGTAGGGTTGCATTCCTGGGCTTCCTGTGGGTCTGCTCAATGAGTTGCAGTAGATTGATAACAGGGACAATACCCTAGATGGTTGTGGTACCAATGGGCATGCCAATATTGAGTGGACCCACACATGAGCAAGTTGTGAAAGGTAAATATTTTTATTTTTATTTCTAAAAGAACAACCAGAATCTTTTATATATATATATAAACACACACACACACACACACACTGATAATATCTACAAGAATATTTTTTCTGTTTCACAAATGAGAAACCTAATGTCCTAGGAGCTACATTAATTTTACTCAAGGCCTAAAATAGACTAAAATGATAAACACATTTAAAAAGTCCTCTTATTTTTCTTCTGTTCCTTATCTTTAAGAAACCTACCATGACTTAACTGTCTCCGAAAAGCAGATTCAGAGTTCCAACTGCCACCCCACCTCCCACCCCACCCCCACCCCCACTCCTGAAACTGGATCTAACCCCAGTCTATCAAAATGTCCAGGGTCCATGCAGAGTGATGGATGGCTGAGCCCATGGAGACACAGAGCAGGCCTCCGGAGTAACAGCAGATCAAGTCGAGCAGGGCCTCAACAACCCCAGGCTTGTCAAGAGGTCATAAAACGGCTTGCAGGTTGAGTCTTAATCTTGCCAAGGTTGACCAAGAAGCTAGCTCTTGCAGGTCAAGGGTAAGTCAAAGTGTCAGTAGATCCACTTCCTTAAAGCCTAGTCACCAAATGTTATCCTCCTCTTTTCCTCAGCAGATATTTCCACACTGAGAGCTTAGGGATTACTCCTAGCAAGAAGCGAAAGTCTCCCAAGGAAGCATAACTGTCCCTTCTCATTCCAGCCCACTTTCCAGCCTCCTTCTCCTGGGGATCAACTCTCCGTCCAGGACACAGAACATCCATGAGAAATGGGGAAGCCTAGGCAAAATGGTTGAAGCACTGGTTAACACACAGAACAATGGTTGGCATTTATTGATAACTTAAGTGGAACCATGCACTAGTTTAAGAGTATTAATTCACTGAACCCTGAAACCATCCTGGGAGGTACACGTATGTATTACTATTAGCCCCATTTTACAGATAAGGGAATGCAGACACAGAGGCATGAAGCAATTTCCTCAAGGTCACACAGTAAGGAGTCTATGCTCCCAGCTTTACTGATCTGTGCCCTGTGTCTCCTCCATGCTGTGCCCTCGACCCTAAACTCCATGCTCGGTGCCTGCTCGCCCTCCTCCACAATCTAAGCTTGATCTCGAGAATGACTCTACAGCCCTGAATTTACACCTTTACATAGAAAAAACAGCGTTGCTTCTCTTGGAGGTATTTATTTAATCAGTCTCGTTTTTCACTGTGGAACGAAGAGTTCTGTATCCTTTTAGATGAATTTCAGGCATAAACAAATATATGGAAGAGATTTTAGAGGAACAGAACAGGTGACCCCCAAATCACACTGGGTGAAACAGCTGTTTGGGTTGTAGTAAAAGCCCAAATATAAACAACAGAGAGCTCTGTGCAGCTGTGGCCTCATTCCAAGAATGGCATCCTCCCCTCTCTGCCTCCCAGGATGGGGTCTCTCAATTAAAATCTATACCTGAAGCAAACTGCCCATTTCTCACACCTTTGCAGTCTTTCCCTGACCCCAGGACCTCCTGACAAGCCTATCCCGACTTTATTTCTAAGACCAGTCTGGCCTGAGGTCCCTGGGATATAAGGAGCTTTCGCCCACTCAGGGGTCTCAGTTCTCTGCAAGTTCATTTCTGAGACCTCTCTCCCTCTTTCTCACCACTGGAATTCCGCCGACCTCCTGAGACTCCATCAGTCTTTGATTTTGTATTCTGATTTACAGTCTGAAATAACTGCCTTTTTCCTGTGGGTTAGCCTTGCCCTGGGCTGAGACCCTGTCTTTGCTCTTAACCATATACCCCATGTCACTGAGCTGTAATTGTGCCCTAAACTCCATGGATGAGCCCTGATCTCAGCTGATAGGCCTCCCTTGGGCTTCCGGCTCGCCATTCTGGACCTGGAAGGATCACTTAGCGTGAATTTCCTGTCCCTGTCCTCTAATGCTTGTTGGGCCCCCAGCATGGTCTATCACAGTGTCCGCTATTGTTCCTGTGCCCTTCTGATACCACAATGCATCCAGATGTGAAAAGCACAGTCCCAGTTACTGAGAAAATTCAATTGGTCCAGGACCACTGGAGGAGGATATGCTAAAAGAATGCAATCCTCAGTTCATCTCCCACCTCGTAGGTTCAAAAACAGAAGTTGGAAGTTGAAGAACTACATGGCTTTCTTTGGGAAAAGTTGTCAGTGCATTCCCACCTCCTTCCTACATTTCCTCCAAATATGGGCCTAAGCCTTGTGCACCTCCCCAGTTCTAATACGTGGTGTAGTTCCTGATCTTGGCTCCTAGTGGTTTTCTCCAACTTGTACCACAACCAACCAGGTATGCCCACTAGCTGGGTATAAGACCTCAATTCTGTTTCTCTTCCCTAGGATGGCTGGACATATGATTCCCGGAAGGAAGGGGCTTCTCCAGCTGCGACAGTCCAATAAACTTCCTCACAGCTCAAATTGGACCTTAATGGAAAGCTTAACTTTAACAGATGGTCTAAGCTACCTCTCAATTAGTGACTAATCAAGAAATATTATAGAACTATTCCACCATGGAGGAAAGTTATGGGCTAGGAAATGGGCAGAGGTTGGGAGGGTTCACCTTTGTAAAGTTCTACTATATTCTGTCTCCCCCCTTTTAAAGTTCTAATATAAAAATCTAAACATTAAGATGATTAGTTAAGGATAATATAGCAGTGTTTCCTCTGGTTTCCCAGCACCTTACATGCGCCAGTCAATGTATATGATAGAACCCTCTCCCTCTCTCTGGGATCATGTGCAATGGCCCACACCAGCACGACCTCAGGTTTGTAGGATCTGTACCACAGGAGGTCCTTTTAGGGTTCTTCCACCTTACAGTGTCTTTGATTCCATGAGATTGTTTCAACCTTTTGCTTTGCCCCATCGTTCAATACATGGGCCTTCTTCTCTCAGAAACGGAAGGAATGTAAAAGAGGATGTGCCTGCTGCCAGATGGTGTTTATAAAATCTGAGACTCACCGACATCCATGCAGACAGGCCATGAAACCTCTCCAAGACAAAATCCTACCAAGACTGATCATCCCAGCCAACATTCTCCTATTACCTTTCAGGTTTCTGGCTGCCATTTTGTGACTTGTTCTCCCTTTCATGGCTGCCTAATATTTGTTTTCCCTGACTTCACTTGTGTAGAAATGCCCCAGAGGTTGGCAGTGAGTAGACAACTAATTTGCCCCAACTGTACCCACAGCCCCTTAGGAATGATTCTGGGCCCCAACTTCATTAGAGAGAGCTTTGTGGTTTCAATTAATGAAGTCTTCCTTCTCGACAATCGGACTACTATAAGTGTCACCACTCACTGACAAGATGGAATTAAGTGTGAGTGAGGGTGTATCCTGTGTCAGTGCAGGTATCATGAGAGCATTCTCTCACTGAGAACAGAAAAAATAAGCGTGCTTAAGATTTGGTCATGTAACCTGAGATGACATAGGTTTTAAAAAAGATGTGCATTTTTTCGTTTATGTGTTGGGCAATAAAGAAGTTCCTTTTCTCTGAAAGACATGTCTATCTGTTCCCTTCCCACCTTACTCCAGCATCACAGAGTAGGGAATACCATGTTTACAAGGGGTGCTGAGTGGTTTGTCACAGCTTGCAATTGAAATTTCTTGAGTTTTTAATACTCACGTCTCATCCTCAACGATTCATTAATTTAGATCCATTGGTTGGGCTTAATGATGCATTCTAAATGCAAAATAAATAAATAAATAAATAAATAACGGCGATGTCAATGAGTAACGGCATTGACACATATATTTATATTTATGTACATGCCTGCTTAGAGATAAACATGTAAAATGAAGACATGAGGAGAAGTACCTAAATTAACAGAGCTACACAGAATTGAATTCCCATATGTCACTGAATCTAACATTATAAGCTACATCATTAATTTTATGTTACACTAAGACAGAAAAAAAAACTTGCTAATTAAACCATGACATGCAATTGATTATAAAATACATCCCAATTTCAGAAATGTTAAAAGGTGAATAAAAGGCCTATTGTAGAATTGGTGAACTAAGTTAAAAGTCTCATTCAATACTAGCTAACATTAATGCTGACTCCTAATGTGTCCAGAAATTTTTTTGTTTGTTTTTGAGAAATTAGTTCTTATTGAGAAATTGTTGGTTGAGTAAATTATTTCTTTCCTATTAATATAGCAATGATAGCAATTTGAGTTGGTACCTTAAAAGACAGACAGTTCAGACAAAAGTTATCTTAGAGATCTGTAAATACACAGGTACTTCAATCCAAGGGAGTGTGGTTTATTGAAAGAGCCCTGGGCAAGGAGAATGCTAATTCTCATGATTGGCTGTGTAGCTTTGGGCAAATTTCAAGTACTCAGGGCCTTGGTTTCCTTACCTGTGAAATGTATAGGGTAGATTAGACTCTTATTTCTATGCACTAACATTTTATGAATTTATGATCCTGGGTCCATGTTGCCCCATCTCAAGGGTCCATATGTCAAGTTGAAATATGTCCAATGTGGAAAATCCTCTTAGGCTTACCTTAAGATTTACCAGGATACTCCAATGTTTGTTAAATGAGAAAGGAATGAATGAAGATAAGCCCTAATGATTCTCTTTGCTAACAAATCCTGAATACTAAGCTATAATATTTGTCTCTGCATGGTTCTGCTGAGGACACTGACCCTCCAGTATTGAAACAGAAAGGGAGAGCCTTACCTCTGCTACCCTTGATGGTCCCTTCAGTGAAGACATCTTCATCCTCAAAGCATCTCTAATCTAAAGAAGCAATGACAGGGCCGGCCAAGTGGCACGATGGTTAAGAACTGGCTTGGGACTCCAGAGGGCCCCAGTTCGGATCCCACATATGAGGGCTAGTGACACTGCCCTCCACAGCTAAGATGCTGAACAACAGCTCAACCTGGAGCTGGGCTGCCGTCAGTCGCCAGCAATGGCGTAGGTTGCAACCCCTGCTGCAGTGGGTTGCCATGGGCTACCGTGTGTAGCCAGCAGCCAGCATGAGCGGCCAGCAGCCGCAGTGAGCGGCCAGCAGCCGCAGTGAGCAGCCGTCCAGAAGCCGACGACTGATCTGCCTCGCCTAGGCAGAGCGCAATGATGGTGCCAACTTGGGCCAGTGAAGCAATGTCCTCCACAACTAGACTGAAGAACAAAAGGACAGCAACTTGTCTGTTCCCCTTCCCCCAATTCCCCAATAAAAAAAATCTTAAAAAAAAAAAGCAATGGCACTGAAGAAATGACAACATCTCCAATGCCCAGACCCATGTCCTGAAACTTTGAGACTAGTAACCCTGGCAGAAGCAGCATCAGATGGTTTAGCACAGTGCTTGGCACATAATAAGACTTTGATAAAAGTTGAGGTGTAGTTATAAACAAGATTTATGGTTAAGATCAAAATTGTGGTTATGGTTTCCATTCCTTTCACCACCTATACTCACATACAGCCTCCTGCTGATTTCATGAAGTGCAGGAAATGAGAGAGTATAGTTCTTTCCTTACCCCTCACAGCTGATGCCCTGTACACCCAACTCCCCTGAACCATGCTTTCAGCCACGTGGATATGATCTACAATGAGTGAAACAAATTCAAATTACCTTGTGATCCATAATGGTTCCAAACAACAAGATGAAGAACCCCTGTAGCAAAATTCAACAGAAGCATGAGGACAGTTTTGCAGACAATATCCCAGCTGTTATATCAATACAACTCTTCTACATACCTTCCAAGACAGTTATCAGACATTAGAAACTTGAGTTTCTACCGATTCAGGTAAAAACACATTGATAAGTATTTTCCTTGAGTATACCTCAAAGAAATAGAACCACAATATCTGTGCATGACAGTTATTGATATTTATTAAATGGCTACAGCTGTAGGATAGAGTTTTCAACCTTATTAAATACATTTACTTTCTCCCCAAGTATTATGGTAGTTGTTCTTCCTTATGATGACAGTAATACGTGACATGGAATCTTGTAACTGAAAGCCACAATCATGGAAGACACCTGAGAAAATGAAACGTATCCTAGCCTATTTTAAGTTGGAGTTAAAAGTCGAGAAATAGGTAGCCAGGTTCTCTGAGCTGATGAAAGAAGGTTCTGCGTAAATAACAGTGAAAATTACAGAGATGTGTAAGGCCAGAGTCTGTTCCCGTTTAAATTATTTGGTCACCTATAAAGTCACAATAATTGGAAGTCAATTGTTTTAAATGATGGGAGTTGAGGTGCAAGAAAAGTCTAGATCCTGCCATGAGACTAGAGGGAAGCCTGGGTTTCTACAGATGGTTTCATACTGTTGAAACACTGAGAAGACTGAAATCTTTAAATGTGGGTCACAAGTGTTTTAGTAGTTTTATTTCTATCAAGAAAAGAGAAAAAGAAGTGATCTGGAAAAAAAGAAGAAAACTTTCTGAGGTTGAGTTAAGTTGCAAAGTAAAAATAGGATGAACCATTAGTCACCAGAGTAACTGGTGGAAATCCCCTCAGGAGTTGGGGAGATTTATGTCCAAAAGCTTTTGATTTCAAAAAAGGAAAAAAGAAAGGAAGGAAAGAAGGAAAGAAGGAAAGAAAGAAAGAAAGAAAGAAAGAAAGAAAGAAAGAAAGAAAGAAAGAAAGAAAGAAAGAAAGGGAGGGAAGAAGGGATGAAGGGAGGGTGGAAGGAAGGGAGGAAAGAATAAAATGAAGTCAAAGATTTCTCTTTAAAGCAGCGAAAGGGAGTGAAGTAAATGTTCTTCATAGTTATAAAAGAATTATCAGTAAGATATATAGTTGATCTGAGTTGGTATTTCTTTAAAGTCTGTTTTATATTTTGTATCAAATTTTAAATAGAGTAGTAGTGACTCTATTTAAAAGAATAGAAAATAGTGACTATTTAAGAGAAGTAGCGATTCTTTAAAATTCTGTTAATAAGAATACTTTGCTGCTTTATCATGCAGTTATATTTACGTAATTTCAATACTAGTTGATTTTTAAAAAAATTTTTCTGCAAAGAAACAGATTATAAATATTTTAGTCTTTGCAGGCTACACAGTCTCTGTTACAACTACCTCAGCTTTCTCACTGTAGCTCAAAACGAGCAATAGGCAAAATGTGAAAGAATGGGTATGGCTGTCTTCCAACAAAACTATTTACAAAAAGAGGCAGCAGGCCATAGTTTGCCAACCCCTGATTAAAACCATAACTAAGAACTTAAACTTGCCAACTTTTCTATTACCCATAGGTATGGAAAGCAACCTGGCTAATGATGGTTTCCCAAATGTGCAAGCTGACTAGCCAAGATGGAACAAAGCAGCTCTTAGATGGATAATCATGCAAACCAAGCATGTTAAAGAAGAAAAGACAAGAGATACCATTTCAGAGCCATCTCTTTACCTTACAGATGAGAAGGTTGAGGACCAGAGAAAAATGACTTTCCCAGGACCAGGTAACATGTGGCAAGATCCATTTCTTTGAATAACAACCTGCCTTTATATCACAGGGAATAGCAGGGAAGGGACATAAGCACTCCCGACTGGTTAACACCCAAAGAGAACAGCGAGGGCATCTCTTCAACACCATGGAAAATGACTCATTTCACTGAGTTCTCAAACTACATGAGAAAGAATAAAAATCATGCTTAGTTTGAGGCATGACCTGAGAGTGTAGCCTCACATCTCCCTGACCCAAGAATGGTCCTGTATAAGTGAAGGTCAACTTCTTTTGACATTGAAACTTTAGGAGGGATACAGGTGGATCAGTGAGGAGAACAGGAAGGAAATTCCCACCCAACTAAAAATGGCTTGATAATCAGCTAAATACGACTTGATAATCAATAGGGTGAGAGACGCCACCTCTAAATGTCTCTAAGATATGGAGGAAAATGGAAGGAACATTCTGTGCTCTGTATTTTAAAACCATCGCCATCTTTAATTGTATAACCGGAATCACAAATTATAAAATAATATTTTATAAATAAAAAGCAATAATATTAATGAATAAAATAAGTCTCCCTCTTGGAACTTACCTGGAAAGCATTGAGCAGGGCAAAGATGATGTGGAATATCAAGGAAGTACTATCTATGAGGGTGGCTATTCCAAAACCCCAGGTCAGTCCCAGCAGTGGGGTAAGGATGGCAACATTTTTGCTGATCCTCAAAATTATGGTTACATCCTGAGACTTGGAACTGCCAATAGAGGGCCTTTGAGTGTTGACAGCAACAACCAAAACCACAAGAAGATTCACAGCCACGATGATCAAGGCAGGGATGGCAAATGCTAGCAGGGCTTTGGTATTGTCCCAGTTAAGCCAACAGGCATCGCGTCTCAGGTAGCCTTTCCCTGGCACTGTGACAGCAACGGTGGTGACAGCTATGACCAGCGGGCACCCATAGCCAATGGCGAAGCCAATGGCCATCATGCAGGACTTCAGCATCCTGCGGAAAACGATCAATATCCCATAGATGATGAGCAGGGCTTTGAAGAGCATCCAGAAAAACAGACAGAGGTAGAAAAAGTGGCTAAAAAATGTCATCGCAACACACCACTTGTGGTCCAGGGCCTTTTTGTTAAAGTTAGAGGCTACGATAAACCACACATTGGCGGCCAGGAGGGACACGGCTATGTTCACAATGCACACGTGACGCATGTAGGCTATCTCCGTCACCACGACCCGGGACCACACGGTGGCTTCAATGAGCAGGCAAAGAACCAAGCTGAGGATGGAGACGCTGAGCCCAATGCAGGTGATGTAGCCCAGGATTTTGTCATCTATAATTTTGGGGGACATTAAAATGGAAAAAGACATCACCACATTGGTGCGGTTACACCGGCATTTCACTTTGTTCGTGATATCCAACGTTGTTTCACAAGCCTTCTCATCCCACCTCCTTTTCCAGGAGTGCCAGCCAACACACCGAGCCCGGGCATGCCGGGATTTATTGATCTTCTCAAACGTGAGTAAGATTTGCTGTAATCTTTCTGGTAAAATCACCGAAAGGACCAGACTATTCACTGGCCTGAGAAGACTCTCATTTTGTAAGTGGGCTTCTTTCAAAACAGCCCCCAAGGTGGGAAAAGCTATGCTGACGGCTTGAGACATATTTGGTGGCAGCTTCCACAGCTCATGCCTGGGAATTTCTATCACTCCTATGATATCCTCTGTTGTATTGTTCATGTTCCTGGAGAACCTGAAACTTTTCTCTGAGGTATTGTGGTTAATGTGAAACCCTTTCGCCTGAATAAAGAGTTCATCCACAATGTTCTCAGAGTCATTGCCAATGTGGAGTTGCCTAGCAAACAAATTCACTGACTGCAACAAATCCGAGCTGGCATTCTCGTCGGGAATGAAAGCCCAATTTGCAATGGTTGCTGTGTCAAGAATGTGGTCGGCCACTTCACTGTAGCTCTGCAACGGAGAAAAGTGGATATTATATGAAGGATCTACACATGATTGTACAAAGTCAATTTCTGAAATCTGAAATTTCTGAATCAAATGATCTGGTCTTATTTGACATATTTCCCCTTATGTTTACTGTTTCTTAGAATCTCAGCCTGAAGCAAAGGAAGAAAAGCAAAAGAATGTTAAAAATAAATTAAATTAAAAAATAAAATGTATCACAAATAAAGTTTATCTGCTTTATTATGTGCCCTGCATTTCCAAACTGCACTCTGTATAACCCAAGTTTCCCATAAGATATTAATGATTGTTTAATAGAGGGGGTTGGGGTCAGAGTCTATGGCAACCTAAGTTTGAGAAATACTGCATACCATATCCCTATATCCCCCATATATATAAAGAGGGCCCAAGTTCATTAACACTTTAAAAGCTCTAAAAAAGTTCTGCCATAAGGAAACCTGCTTAACATTAACTCAGAGTCCCTACAACAGCTGTGCTATAATCTCCCAATTAAAAATGAAAGCTCTGTTAACACTTCTCAGAACAATTATGTTCCACAAAACGACATTTTGGAAACATCAGAGTAGACACAGTCTTGCTCACTGCCATTACTCTGTGATATTTTCTTGAATATACCGGGGCTGCCAAAAAAATGTATACAAGTGGACACTTGGGTCAACGTTGCTTAAGCAATAGTTTGCCATAATCGGAAGTGCCTGGATGCTGACGGTAACCACTTTGAGCACCTCTTGTAATTGCAGAAGTCAAATGGGACTTGTAGTCATCTTTTGTTATCAGTATATATTGAGTATTACAATTTTGACACAGTTTTCCTTGCTTAAAATGTGTATACATTTTTTTGGCACCCTCTGTATTAAGTCTGTACAAAAATATGTATAAACACATTCTAGGTTCTTGACAAATTCCATAAACTAGAATGAATCAATATGCAAAATTGAAATGAAATGCCAACTATTTTGTTATAATCGTTGTGATGGTTGTAATTTTTTCAAAGTAAATTTGAAACTGTTAAAGTGCAGGATTTTGAAAAAAATTGTCAGCTTTTTAATGGCATGAACAAAGAATACCTACCTTCATTTTCTCTTGGGTAACATTATCAGACAAGTCTTTAGAAATATTTTTTAATAACTCCACTATAAATGCAATATTTCCAGATGTGGCTTCTGAGGATTTCACAGCATCAACAATGCAAGCATAGTCCTGTGGGCAGTTCATGCGGATTCCTTGTGCGACACTCTGGACAGGCTCTGGAGCTCGAAAGTCAAGAACGGGCAGAGGTATAGATGGTGCTGCGATGGAAAGGCGTGATGCACTATTTAAGTCCTGTTTTTTTAAAAAAAAATGTTGTTTTATTCAAAAGTGATTAAGCATCTAACATGTATCAGACTAAAGGAGCTAAAGGCACAAATAATCCAGATGTGGAAAACAGACAGAGAAGCAAATGGTCTTAAAAAGTGGTTTAATGGGCCGGCCGAGTGGCGCATTGGTTAAGAGCTGGCTTGGGACACCAGAGGGCCCTGGTTCGGATCCCACATATGAGGGCCAGTGACACTGCCCTCCATAACTAAGATGCTGAACAACAGCTCAGCCTGGAGCTGGGCTGCCATGGGTCTCCGGCAAC